TGTCACTGGAATAATCTTAATAGCTGTCGGACAAGTGGCAGCAGTCTGAAGTTGGTTGAAGTTTTTTCTTCTCACCTTGTATGATGCGAAACTAGAGTTTCTGCAACAAAAAAAATCGGCAATCAAGTTAGAATTTTGGGAAGTTCACCGACCGCAAAGACGGTCCGTTCTGAGCTGAGGTTAGATTAAAGGTGACCAACTTTCCTTCTTGAAGATCTTTTGGCAGACGTTTGTATCCATCCTGAAAAATAATATCGTCAAAAAATGAAATATTAAGTTGGATACATGGAACGATTGTTGATTGTATAGAGGCTCAAATATATTAAGAACAAGTATACAAAGGAAAGTGGTTTGCGAAAATTCCGACAACCTTTGAAAAAACCCAAATTGGGTTTCTATAGAATTGCAAGCGAAAAAAGCCTTTGAAAACCTCAGTCATTTTCCCGATATAGTTTGACTTGACTGGAATCTGCATCTTGCCAACAAATCTTCTGCTTTATTTCGGAGGTCAAAAATGCTTAAAGGCGGATGTATTTATTTCCCGAGCGTTTATGAAATGTTTTCCCGGGAGCAAAGAATTATTATAACAATTTATGATTTGATTATTTAAAAGCAAAAGCTTGATGCTGCAAAAATTTATTGTAAATTGTGATCATACATTATAATCATAAATCTTACATAAAATTATTGAAGGAGTTTTTTTTTATCATTATAACGTTTTAAAAAAAGCCTCAATAAATTAAACCTTATACAGAGCGTTTATGTAATCCAAAACCGCGACATTTTGATCTTTCTATCGATATATACCAATTCCATATTCCCTGATTTTATCAGCCATCATATCCATAAGCATTTTGATTACAAGCAAGTTGACTATCGCAGAAACATTAGGAATCGTGCTATTTTCCATCTCAGATCCATCGCTAAAAATGGCAGTAGCGCCTTGAAGATGATTTAATAGAGGTCCCTGTCATAAACGCCTTATAGAATTTCTTAGAATCGCAGCGCAACTAATCCAAGAACTTAGTCTCTTTATCCTCAGGGCGCTCCTTGAAGTCTGTTGTAATCAAAGTCATAAACAAAGTTTGGCGACAGGAACTCATTTAAAAGACATAGAAAGACTTCAAGACTGTATTTTTAGGTAATCTGTAACCGCAGCAATGAATTGAGTCCAACTTAAAACTATTGAAAGTAGCCCCCCTCTATAACAAGCAATGCGGCTTAGGTGTACAAAGTTGTCCTTTAACATCCTTACAAAACATTGCTTTAACAGATTCGGCCTTCGGAAGATTGACTAATCAATCTGTCGCCTTTTGTAATTAAGTGACAGACAAGTACATTAGAACATATTCCAGCAAATAAAATACCAATCTATCTTCAACTTTTGTTTGGCTGCTTTGGATACTAACTTGATTTATTTATGTCTTACCGAAAAAAAATCAAAACATTCATATCTTATCTCACAACGTTGTTTCCAAATACTAAAAGGAACGAACGTGCAAAATTTTTCTTTATTTTAGTTTATATATTTCTTCGCTTGAGAATGTTTTGAAATCAGTTATCATTTAAACTTGGCTGTTCACGTTCCTAATTAATAAATTGGTAGTGTGGTAGTTGACGGCGCGCTAGTGGTTGGTAGTTGACACTTTTAATTTCATTTACCGTTTACAGTTGTTTTCGTTGTGGGTTAAGTGGTTTTTGCAAAAGCGTGTTTTTATTGTTGTTTTATTTTTGTAATGCTGGCTAAATTTGTATTACTGCCTCAACTTGAAATCTTACATCAGTTTGAAACAGACAATTCTACTACGTTGCTTGGTTCTACCTCCAGTGTTAACTCCTACCTAAAGTGATCTTGAAATATGCATAAAAGATTAAAATATTTGCATATTGTTCTGTAGTTGTTAATATTTTTGTTGTTCTCATCAAACGTGCTTTAATAACAAAAATTAAAGCATTTTTCATATTATAATAATAACGTTTGAATTGGGTCACATAATTCCTTGGCATATTAAACTATTTTTATTAGATATTATTAGAAGAATTTATTTATTAGAAGAATTTAAAGATGAGGCCACGTCGATTTTGCTGTCATTTTTATTGGAAACACTCAACTCTATGGAATCTGTTTTGAATGCCGAAAAGTATATAATTCCCAGACAAAATTAATGGAAGTGGTTTTATGTGATTTATTGATTTCAATTGCTTGAGTTAAGATAAAATCATGAAACATCTGATCGTCTCTTCAAAATTTAAACCAATTACAGGGTGAGATAAAAAACTGCAGCAAAGTCAAACGTCATCTTTTTTACATTTCTCAAACAGTGTCACACGCTGCTTGAAGTGATCGACACTTTGGCATTTTTTAGTGCCAACATTGCTTCCCAAAATAATCCAGATACAATAGTCCAACGGCTTGGTATCCGGAGATTTTGGTGGACATTGTGTGCTAAGTGCGATTGTGCTGAGTCCTGTTGGAATGTCCAAGGTCTTCGGCCAAAATGATTGCGTGCCGAAGGCTTTAATACACCCTCTAGAATATTTTCGCGATAATATTCGGCATTTATTCTGATGCCACGGTCGATTAATACGAGCGGATGGCGACCATCGGCTGTTATGGTGGCCCACACCATCACAATACCCGGCGCTTGAGTTCTGGTAGCCAACCGAAGGTGCACATTTTCAGCTGACCTCTTTGGCAAGTAAACACCATCATTTTGTTTGCTTACGAACTGCTGGACAACGAATGTTTTCTCATCGGAGAAAACCAAATTCGGCAGGTCACCACTTTCGGCCAAGTAAAGTAACTTTAGCTCTTTTGAGTCTATTTTCTTTCTGTTGCGGTGTAAGTTCTTTCACTTTTTACAATTTCAATGCCTTTACCCGAGCTCATTTTTCAATATTTGCCGAATGGAATATTGCGATATGTTTAGCTCTCGAGCCATTTTTCGGCCCCTGCGACGTGGGTTTCGATCAAGTCGCTTCTTTACTTTTCGAACCGTTTTTGCTATTTTTCTGTTTTGTTCCGTCCATTTCCTTGACGTCGGGCTAAGCTACCACTATCACAGTAACGAGTGATGGTACGAGACACAAAAGATTTATTCACATTTAAATGCTGGAGTGCTCTAACGATAGCCACTTGTGGTTTTCCAGCCAAATATAAAGAAATCACACTATCACGCTTGAATTCCATCACGAATACGATCTGGGTGGCCAATCGATCGGTCCTGAACATGAAAGGAAATGTTCACCGAACTCGCCTCTCAATAATCCATTGTTCCGTGTTCTCTGTGGCATGTGACACCTTCTTGTTGAAACCTCAAGAATTTTGGACAAAAACAAGTTGAATGTCATCTCCATCACCATTCACAGCTACGTTATGATTCTCAGCGTTATGATTCACGCGATGAACATTCTTAACAGAGCACGAATTCAATGACGAAAAACGCTTACAGTTCGTTTGTAATACGATTCAGGGTTAAATTACAGACCAAACGGAGGACGTTTAACAGTGAAACAAAACACAAAACGTGCGAGACCTGTTTAAATCGGTATTGTAAAAAAAATAATAACTAAAAATCGACCGATTTTTTCACCTTTGAAGTTATAGAGTAATAGCCATCATTGATTCGTGTTCATTATACCCTCCACCTTGGAAAGGAGGGTATATTAACTTTGTCATTCCGTTTGTAACATCCCTAAATATTCGTCCCCCCAATTTCCCCAATTCTAAGTTGATTTAACGATGTCCGCTTGTCTGTTTGTCTGTTGAAATCACGATACAGCCCAAATTATTTGACGTAGAGCGTCAAAATTTATCAGAACAATTTGAATTGTGTCTAGGATGGTTGGTATTGAAAATGAGACATATCGGTCCACGTTTTGGTATAGTCCCCATATAACGGTACCTCCCGATATTCGGTATTTTGATTATTTTTGCCACATTTTTTCACGATTTATCTAAACATTGGTATTTGTTGGTCATAATGGGTTCTAGTTCGTGTGGCGGAACATTGCATGTATATGTCCATAATTTGGTATAGCCCCCATATAACGGTACCCCCCCGATATTCGGTATTTTGATGGTATTTGCCACATTTTTCACTGATTTGTGTGAAAATTGGTATTTGTAGTTCATAACGGGGTCCGGATTTGTCTAAAAATTGGTATTTGTGGGTCCTAATGGGTTCTAGCTCCTTTGGCAAAACATGGTATGTATAGGTCCACGTTTTTATGTAGGCACATTTTCCCATGAATATGTCTAAAAATTGGTATTTGTGGGTCATAATGAGTTCTTATGTTTCCTTTACCCTAAAGTGGAGTGTATTAAAAGTTCGGCCCGGTCGAACTTAATGTTTTTTTTACTTGTTTTTTTTTTTTTCTATGTTTAAATAGAAGAAAATATTCCCATACCTAATCCACTTTATCCCTTCTGACTAAACATATAACTTCCTTAGAAATGCCAAATACAAAACTACCTTTAAGAGATAGTAAAATCAACCACGAAATGTACAATTGTAACAACCTGTCCAATGTACATGCACAAGTTTATTGTTAATATTACAAATTACACGTGTTATAGAAATTTGTTTGTATATTTCTATAGAATCGATAGCCCCGACTACTAAAACTGTTAGATACTTACTATCTTATCTCACGAGATTTAGGAAAATTGACGTAACCACAACGGTTGATTGACCCATGGGACTTCGTATATCAAAAAGATTTACATATCAATGAAATATAACAAATAAAAATGTTACTTTCTTAACAATAATTTAAAATCATCATGTTGCCAGGGTGTTCGACAAGGTGCACACCGCACTGCACCACACTTTCTTTCCAAGTTTTGTGCAAAAAAATATTCTCACTAATTCAACCCATCAACAATGGATTATTATTTTTTGTTTTTTTTTTTATATAAAAACATATGTTTCCTGTAAATACTTTGATTGCCTTTGCTAATGATTGGAAAAATATTATCTTTCTTTTTTCACTTTCAGATAAATTCAAGTGGTAATGGACATTTAAAAATTCCCTCCAGTAAAGAAGCTTAACCCATCATTGCGCCTTAAGTCTTCCAATTGAGATTATTATATTTCTTTAGTTGGCACCATCCTGAAATTAGAATTTATCATATCATAAAAATTATAACCGAACGCCCGCCCACATAACTCAATTTTTTTGTGATACCACATTACATTTAGCAATTGGGCAAACAACCAGTCGAAATCATAAGCAGCAACACCATGAATACCACATCGGCATTTGATGATAATTTAGTTCAATTGTATACACATCTTGTCAAGAATTATGTACCGGAATATTTCAAAGGCTTCGAATATACACCATGGGTATTTTCACTGCTGGGTTCAGTTGTAATTGGTTTAAGTGGGATTTTGCCACTAATCATAATACCCAATGATGAAAAATTGAAACAACAAGGATATTCAGATCGTAAGTAACAACAAAATGAGTTGTGATAAATAAGTACTAATTTTTATTTCTTTAGCTGGTGAATCAAAGTTCCTTAAAGTTTTGTTAAGTTTTGCCGTAGGCGGTCTGTTGGGCGATGTATTTTTGCATCTATTACCCGAAGCCTGGGAGGGTGATAGTGATTTATGTAAGTATTTGCTCATATTTAATATTATGTTGAAGAACCTTTTTCTATAATATATCTATCTTCTTCCCTTGCTCAGCCTCTTCATCCTCGGACCATCCTTCATTGCGTTCCGGTCTCTGGGTTCTAGCCGGTATACTTATATTTACAATTGTGGAAAAAATCTTCTCGGGTTATTGTAATGCCGATGAAGAAAATCCCCAACCAAAGTGTGTTGAAATTGCCAACTGTTTATTGCGCAAAAACGGCGGTAAACTGCCTGATGGTAAAACCTCCGGCAGCTGTACTGGCAACGGTTCCTGTGATATTGAAGATGTACCCAACGGTTGTTTCTTGCGTGAACGTGAACAGAATAAAAAAGAACAACCAAAGAAAATAGCTGGCTATTTGAATTTAATGGCCAATTCCATTGATAATTTTACACATGGCTTGGCGGTGGCTGGTTCATTTTTGGTCTCATTTCGTCATGGTGTTTTGGCGACATTTGCCATTTTGTGTAAGTAGGAAGTGTTGATTATTTGCAATATTCCAAGAAATAATGAAGGCAAAAGGCCGTACACGCAATTTAAGTAAAAGTTTTAGGTAAATAATGTGGAAATCAAATATTAAAACGAGTCGAGAGTTTTCAGTTTGGAAGAAGTCCAACAATACTCTGGAAATCATTTTCAAAAACCAAAGAAATTATACTTATTTTTATATTTCTAAAATATTCCTTAAAATTCATGGATTAAGCTCTAAAAGGTCGACAAAAATATATATTCACGATTTATTTATTGACTATATAATTTTCCATTTGTAATTCAAAGCCAGTATAGCCAAAAAATTTATCTGGCGAAAAAAAATATTTTTTTAATAAATTTATGAAATTTTAGTAAAAACATGAATACTATTAATAATTGAAGTAAATAGAAAAAATAGAAGGAATGGCAAAATGATGAATCCGCGATTATTTTTCAGCGCAAGTCAAGAACTGAAAGTTTTATTAAGTTATTATAAAGCAATCGAGAATTCACGCGCTGATAGTCCTTTACAAATTAGTCTTAAAATTCGAAATTCTAAAAAACTACAATTGACAATCATTTTAAATTAATCAAAATGTTCATCTTATTTTAATATATTTTTATATTTACAGTGCACGAAATTCCCCATGAAGTCGGAGATTTTGCTATACTGTTGCGTTCCGGTTTTAGCCGATGGGACGCTGCTCGCGCTCAGCTTTTAACTGCTGGTGCTGGTTTAATGGGTGCCCTAGTAGCCATTGGAGGCTCTGGCGTTACCTCAGCTATGGGTAAGATTAAATTGCCTTTTTTATTCATATGTTATATTTTTTTAATTTCTTCCACCTAAAATATTACAGAGGCTCGTACATCATGGATTATGCCATTTACAGCTGGAGGCTTCTTACATATAGCATTGGTTACAGTATTACCGGATTTATTGCAAGAGGAAAATCCCAAAGAATCACTAAAGCAATTACTTGCACTATTAGGTGGCATAGGACTGATGGCTGTTATGACTGTTCTGTTTGAACACTAAATTAGTCTGTAAATTATATATTATTTATAATATATATTTATATTTTCAAAAAATTGTTCTTCAATCATTTCTATTTTTAATTTTTTCGCAAATTTAAAATATTTCGAAAAAGTACAATAGCATTGTGTATAAATAACAATATTACTTTATTTAATTTAAAAAATTAAAGATTTCTAAATTTTGAAACTACTTTATAAATAAAAATACAACTCCCATTCTATGTTAATTAAAGTTATATTTTAAACTTTAACACTAGTTAGACACCATATGACATTATACATACATACCCACACCCATATACAATATTCAGTTGAAAATAATTAGTTATTATTGTTAATTAGTTATGTAGAAATAGATATTCAACATGCAAATGAATACGATTTGAATAATTTAAAAAACAACTGCATATTATTAACGAAACCTATAATATATTGACTATTTTTTAGCATTTTTATAAATTATGTTTTTTATTTATAAAAGCCATAATTGTTTTTCCTTTCGTTTATTATGAAGTAATTTAATATCGTTTTTTTTTTTTTTTTTTTTTTGAATTTTATTAAACTGCGTCTCGTTTAGAGATCTAAATTATATTTATACATATGTATATATTTAAGAAGAAAAAAATATGTGATATAACGCATAAAAAATAATCAAAAATAATAAAAAACATATTTGAAAATAGATAAAAAAAAGAAAATAAATGAAAAAAATATACTGAAGTGTAGTTTTATATTTAATAGACTCAAATGAAATGCACAATTGCTATAACATAAACAAAGCGTCCTTGATGAATTATTTACATTAAATATAGGGAAATACATATGGGAAATATATCCAAGTTTGAACTGATCTCTACAAAACTTGGTAAAGATATTTTTATGTATGTTCCTAATACTTTGTTCCGAAAATCCTTGTTATGGAGTGTATAGTATGCATTTGGGGGACTTAGACGTAAAATAGGATGGAACATATCTAAGGGAGCTATTGTTAAATCTTAACCGATTACGACAAAATTTAAAATACTTGATTCTAGGCTATATTTGGTAGTCTCTGCCCAATTTCATACCATTTGAGCTAATATTACACATTTGACACATGGGAGCTATATGTTTTAATGACATTTTCAATGAATGCATAAATGCTGCGGCATTTCATTAATGCAGCGTCCATTTTCCTCTTTTAGGGCTTGATTCGTCGGCTTATTCGCGTAAACCATCGACGTCAAAAAACCGCAATGAAAAACATCGAAAAGTGTTAAAACGCACGATTTAGTCGGCCAATTCTGGTCTTCAAAACGCGAAATAACACGACCGGGAAATAACTAATGCATCAACTGAATTGTTTCTCTGACTGTATGGCATATTGCGCCGTCTTATTCTTATTCAGAAAAAAACTGGTCGTATATCGTATATGTACAGGGTGAGATAAAAACATCAGATTGCTGTCATTTCTAAGCCACTCGTCCGACAGCTTTTAAGATTATTCCAGTGACAGCTCATTATATTGTTTACAAGCCTACAAAAGCCTTTCTGTGAGAATTTTCCAGTAATTTCTTTATATTTGGCTGGAAAACCACAAGTGGCTATCGTTAAATCTTTTGTGTCTCGTACCATCGCTCGTTACCGTGATACTGGTAGCGTAGCCCGACGTTCAGGAAGAGGACGAAAAAACAGCAACATTAGCAGAAAAGAATCGAAAACTAAACTAAAAACCGCGTCGCAGTGTCCGAAAAATGGCTTGTGAGCTGAACATATAGCAATATTCCATTCGGCAAATGTTGAAAAATGAGCTCGGGTAAAGCCATTCAAATTCCAAAAAGTGCAAGAATTTACACCGCAACAGAACGAGAATAGAGTTGCGTTGCTTAGCCAAAAGTGGTGAACTTCCGAATTTGTTTTTCTCCGATGAGAAAACATTCGTTGTCCAGCAGTTTGTAAACAAATAAAACGATCGTGTTTACTTGCCAAAGAGGTCAGCTGAAAATGTGAACTTTCGGTTGGCCACCAGAACTCAACGCCGGCCATGGTGATGATGTGGTGTGGGCCGTCATAACAGCCAATGGTCGCTCTCCGCTGGTATTAATCGACCGTGTCATCAGAATAAATGCAGAATATTCTGGAGGGTATATAAAAGCCTTGGGCCTTTGAAAAGCAAATTTTAATTTCGACCCAATTTTTTAGGTGCTATGCTCGGATTGGCCTCAAATTTTTATCACATATAGGTATTTTAACCTGATAACGTTAAAATAATTTATTTTCGTGGAAGAAATTCTTCCTTTTAGCCTACACTCTTGCCTTTCCAAAATGGTACCATCATTGTTGCTATCTCTTGTAGTTCCGAATATATTAGTGCAAAAAATCATTAAATTGATATTTTCTCAACTAATGTGTATTTAAACTTTATAGGTTGTAGTTCCGAAGTTGTTGACTTTAAAGTCGAAGAACTGCTACTCACAAAAGTTATAATGTTTAGAAAAACTATGAATCGCGTACACGGTGTTGGACATATCCCAGAGGAGAAAATCTCAAGCCCCAGCCGAAGTAATAAAGTTTGAAAAATGTGATCCATAGTTCAGGTTTCCATAGTAGACGGGTATACCTCAGAGGAGGAAATCTTAAGCTCCTGTCGAAGACCGGTTACTCAAAAAAACTATAAAGGTTAGATTCATATTAGTGGAGAAAATTTCAATATCATGATTTTCGACTTTTTGGGGGGTTTTCATAGGTATTTCTATAACCTTTCAAATGATACCCATTTAGTACATATCGATTTTGCAGAACCGGATAAAACCCAGATGTTGTATCCGAACTTTTGAATAACCGCGAGTTTTCCCAAAACTTAAAAAAAAAATAATTTGCCGCAATCAAGTTAAATATACGTATCAGTTATGACAATTATGAAATGACCCGAAGCCCCTAAACTCATCCATCACTCCATCACTAAAAGCTTAACAACATTTTAATATTTCCAAAAACATTATTTAAACATCTTTAAAAAATATTTTTTATTTATGTAAATATTTGTTATGACTTCGTAGCCAAGTGACGATTTCAAAATCTTTGAATAAATTTGCAATTGATTACAAAAGGTTTTTATTAAAATTTTTAATATGATCCAAAGTCATAATAGCTTTTAAATTTAATTTTGAATTTTAATTATAAAATATTTAAGAAGGTTATAAATTCCTGTTTCTTTAAATCAAAGTAAAATAAAATGAAAAAGAAAGAAAAAAATATTTCTATACACCAATTTATTGAGCCTGCATGTGATGTTCAGGTATGGCTACTTCTACAGCATATGCACCATTTAAATCTGCTGCTGTAACAACTGTAGCTTCTTCGCCATGAGCCATGCGTTCTAATTCAAAACGTGTTTTTTTTCGCCTGCAAAGCAGTCAAGTATTTTTGCATTCGATAAAATCCGGCCTTTTCGCGGAAATATTCTGTTTCCATACGTAAACGATCCTCCTGTAGTTTTTGTAATACCTTCACATCTACCGGAGGCAAGACATTTGGTATGGGTACAGAGCAATTCGATTGTTGCTGAAAGGTCAAAGCAGTTTGTTGATGATCTGGTGAATTGTTACTTGATGTTTGGGGTGATAGTGGATTTGCTTGGCGCATATCTTGCTCCAGCTGCAGAAAAATGTAACATAAATAATTTAATTTACTTAGTGTCTGCTATGCTTGAACATTTATTTTCACTCACGCTTGGGTCAAATGGTTCTTCATCATAATTATTATGATCCTCTTCAATAAGTTCATCATATAAATATTCGTCTTTCTTAATATTTGACTCATCGAATTCGGCACTCATCTGTTGAGCTTCATCTTCATCGGCTTTGGTCCATTTTGAACTATAGTAATCTTCAATGTTACCATCTTCGCTGTTTTCCTAATATAAAAAAGTCCCTGAAATTTAGTATAATCGCAATTAATCTGAAACACTTACATATTCCATGTGCCTCGGCCTTTTTCTTGTTCTTATAACAACATTTCTATTGTTATTGTCATTTTCGTGAACCGGATTCGTTTCCACTGAATGAATCATGGCCAAATGTTTAACTATTGTCTCGGTGTCCTTCGAATCAAAAACACCATCGCACATGTTGCATTTGGTTTGTGGTGGATCATCATTGATTTGGGTACAAAATTGCCAAATAAAATCAGTATTTGCTGGTATTTTGAATTGATCCTCCCGCACTGTTTCATATTCGTCGGCAGGCTTAATGCGTCCATGCGTTACAACACCATGCATGCGATGTAGATGCCTTTGCAAATTTGATGTCCCCTGATAGGATAAATTCTTTTTACAAAAACTGCAACGCACTTGATCCGAACTTATACGAGTGCAATATTTCCATACAACACTGGCAGAACTTAAAGATTTTCTCGGATATTTCTTTACTGCGACATCTCCGGCTCCATTGTCATAACTGTTACTGTTATCAATATGATTCACCTGATGCAGGGATTCAAGTTTAATGTTTAATTGTGAACCTGGTTCGCCCAGAACATTGTGACGTCTTTGCAAATGTGTTATTACATTGGCGGTACCATGAAAAGACATAACTTTTTGGCAAAGTTTACAACGTATTGTTTGACGAGATAATTTCTCGCAATAGCTCCATACATAGCTTGCACCGCGACGTTCTTTTCGTTCCACTGAAATGTCCGCACTTGACCGACCATTATGATCTTCTTCCTCATATCCCGACTGATCGAGAGAGGCCGTAGCCTGCATTGTCTCCTCGTCCATGTTTCTGGAATCTCTATGGGGGTCCTGTAAGAATAAAAACACTTTAGAATTTGCATTGAAAAACAAGAAATTAGATTTTGTAATGTCTGTATCAACATCTAGTTTGTTAGCTAATTCTTTGGAAGCACAATACATTTTGGAAAATCTTTTCAATGTAATACACCACCATTATTTTAGATTTCTTTGAATAAAAAGTACAGCGACAAAATATAATGTCGTTTTCCAAGACATGTTGCCAATAAGTCTTCTATTCCATTGTATTCTTAACTAGCACTTGAATACTTGGGTGAGGCACAAACTATATGCAGGTAGAGATTAGTGAACAATGAACCCACACATCACATTATAATCTCAGTTGAATTGGCTGGATAATAAATAAGTTAATATTTAATTTAATGTCGTTGTGCATCAATTTGCGCGTTGGTACAACTCATCCAAAGCAATGACACGCAAGTCTGTGTTCGCCACAAATGTTTTCCATAATGAGACGCAGTTTCATTGCTTTATGCTTCACACGAAAAAATATAATGTGTATTTTCACAAAGAATGTTAAGACTTCTTTTAATTTTTTAGTCATTTCTATTTATTTGAAAAGAAAAACAACAACGAAGCTATTTGTTTTGGTTTATTGTCTTTAAATAATCGGTATTTTACCTTAGAATATGGAATTATCAAAATTGAGTAATCAATGAAGAAAAACCAAATTATTTTTTAGTAGTTGTACTCGTCGAGGACACGAATGAAAGCGAATAAAACACACCGACGCTAAAAATACTTTTTGTTCAGTTGATAAGTGTCAGATGTTTAGTTGTTGTTGTCACAATTATGGCGGCAAATTCAAGTAGGGTTCTCTAGGCAGATGCTGGTGGTAATTTATGAAACACAACCATGGCGTATACCGTTTTTTTCTTTACAATATTATCGTTTCCGTCAAGAAATAGATATTCCATATGTTTCATGCATATTAAAGATCGTATTATTATCGAATAGCTATTATTATTATCAATCATTTTATATAATCTATATTAGATAATAACATGTAGCAACGGGTCACAACAATTTAAAAATATATATATTGCAAAAGCCAGTCTATTCCGGAAGCTTTTTTCAAGTGGAGCAAATACTTGACATTGGGGTGTCAATATGCCTTCTCCTCCAGGATAAATTTTTAATCTAATTTAATGAAGAAACGGCTAGATACATAAATAAATAAATATAATAATTTAAAAATTCAAATTTAAACTTTTGAAATTTGATCACTAACGTCTCAACCCGAATAATTTCTAAACCGAATAAAAATACGGTTCGTTACTATTCGGTTATTTTGTACGACCATGCGGTTACTACAAAACAACCGATAATCGAACCGATTGGCACATCACTAATGCAAACCGGATTTATGATACACATGAATTTTCCATTCGGTCAGATTTATCGGATTTTACCCTATTGGTAACAAATTACACGAGTAAAATCTCGGTTTATTGTTAAATTAGTGCAGTTGCAAATATAACTGGACTTTTCAAATAAAAAGTTCGTTTCGAATGGAATCGACGAGAATGAGCGAAAGTGAAAACGAGCACGAGTCGTCAAATGTGGACGAGAAGTTCCGTCCACGAAAACGAAGTCTCGTCTGGCAGTTGTTTGAAAAATTGTCCAGATATCGTGTGCGGTGTCGTTTGTGTAACCATGAACAGAATTATCAAGGAACGACGGGTAATATCTTAAGGCATCTAAAATCTAAGCACGAACTGGATGCTACAATAAAAGGTCAGCAAGATCCCCAGCACCAGGAACGTTTGAGGTTACTATTAAGCAATTTGCCCCCGCAAACATATACTATGCCAGCAGCGGCCATAAAAGTGGAACGTAATTTCAAACCCAGAAAAAGTTCCTTAAATGAAGCACCCCCACAAGAGGATGGAATGAATGGTGGTAATACGTTCGATGAAAATGACATGCAAGATGATACCTACATACAAGAGGAAGTATGTGACCGGATATTAATATTTATATTTGGTTTTATCCATAATTTATGTTTTGCTCTTACTGTAGCCTTTTGAGAACTATTTATGCGCAGAAGAACCACCTATAGATCCAGTCAGTGAAGATGAATGGGGAAATCAAAACTATTCAACAGCCATGAAAAGAAAGATACGTTCCCAACTTGACGAAGAACGGGTAATTGCCGAGACTGAATACTTCCGCGAAAAAGCAGCTTATTTCAAACTGCAAAAACATTTAACAGCGCTGCAGGCCAAGAAAATAAGACTTGAAATTGAACAATTGACAAAACGTAATAATGGTGGAGCGTAATTAATTCTTTAGTTGTTCATTTTAACTCTAATATAAGAACATTCGTCTAAAAATTTAAGAGCTAAACCTTGATATAGAATTGTCATAATCATAAAAGGAATAGCGTTAATATTTTTATACATAAACCTATTAATATAAATATCTAACAATTGTAAAGTAAATAGTATACTAAGCTGTATAAAATCAAATATACATATGATTGTTTTGTGATTGAGAGTGGACTGATTAAAATACAAAGATTACCGAATTCGTTTAATTCAAATTTTATATTGGAAACCTACAAGCAATACAGATAAACTATGGAATCCACTTTGACGCAAAGGATGTTTAAAATGTTACTTTGTGCTCAACTAATTCTTCATGAATAGAGTAGATATCCCTTTTTTCAACCCATATTCCGAAAATTATACTTTCTATTCAAATGTAAGTATTGTAGCGATCAATCCATAGTATTACATTGTCATCTTAGGGTCGAAAATATTTCTTATTGGAAACCAATAAGCAGTGGATATAAAATATGGTCTTAACATTTATCATTGTTTGGACTTGATTTAAAATGTGTCTATAATTTTACCGAGCGAATCCACTGTAGTTAATCACTATGGATTATCAGCCGATTGAAAGGTTTCTATTACAATTACCGTGCCGAAAATAAACCTCTTCTCATTTGTATGTGTTGTTGATTGATGAATGAACATTCTGAATAATTGCAAAAACTAATTGGTGCGCGCTCCAGCGTCAGACTAAAACTTTACTCGAGAATAAACATTCCACACAACTGCTCCGCGCATAAAAACAATAACTACAAAATTATGCACCATCCCAATAACGTCCATCCGGCCAAAATCTAACGCTTCAGCTCTATCTGTGACTATAGTAATGCCAGGGATACGGAGCTGTATTTTAACCAAATACAATATTTTCACAGCGAGTATCCATTGCTCAAATATATACAATAAATATTTATTTTCCGTATAATTGCTCCAGTTCATATTTAATCTTTTTTGCCTGCAAAAAAGCCAAGTGTTTTTGAATGCGAAAATACTCTGCTTTTTCACGGTAGTAATTAGTTTCAGCTATAATTCGCCGTTCCTCTAACAATATCCTTCTTTTAGTGGCAGATAACATATTGGTATTAGATGCTGGGCGATCAGGTTGGTGTTCTATATCGAGGCGGTCCTTTGAATGTTCTTCGGAAAAGTAAGCTTCTTTTCCTTCTAGATCCAAATACAGCTACAAATATAGCTATTTTATTTATAAATTTGGGTATAAAACTGGATCATTTTTACCTCACTACCGGAATTGTATGGATCTATTTCATCGACAGTATGTATGGCCGCCTCCCCACTTTGGCGGTTATGACAGAACAGTTTTTCTTTAATTTCCGGAAGCTCATTCTGGCCGTTATCATTAACCTGCTTGTTGCTATAGTTGTTTTCGAACTGTTGTCCTTTCTGTATAACAGCTATAGTTTTTTCCAGATGTGAGGCCGAAACGGATAGTGCTTTCATTTTGCGAACATTTTCCGGGTCACTTAGTCCGCAAGCTCTGGCATCGATATCATGTTTGACTTTTAAATGCCTCAATGCATTGGCTGTGTTACCCATGTAACGTTGTTCATGTCTACAAATCCTACACTTGACCCGAGAGTCACTTAATTTCTCGAAATATTGCCATACTAGACTGCTTCGCTTCCGACGATTTGAATCGCTCTCATTATCACTCATTTGCCTGAATTGGTATATAGGATGGCGGGTAATTGCTATTAACGAATAAACTTTTATTCGCAATGTTTATGCGAATTATTGTTGTATTTTAGTAAAATGTAATTCGATTAAAATTTGGGTGTATTTTATTCGTATAGAAAATGGTGATGTATCGAAAGCGAATATGGTTACTCGCCAAAAATGATTCATTGCAGTGTTGACATTTAAATAGCAAATTAAACCGGGTTTTCTCAGTGCAGTTTAGATGTAAATAGGCGGAATTCATTTCATTTTTTTCGAATTATCATTCACATAAAATAAGAAAAATAAAAGAGATTTTTAAAAGAAATTAAATTTTTGCAATTGTCTTATGAAAATCAGGATAATAAAAACTGAGAAATTGGCTATCCTGGAAATATTGGTCATAAAGAACAAAAAAATATCTTCAGTCATATTTCATAAAAAATTTAAATATATATATTTCTATATTGAAAATTAGCTTCTTACTTTTTGTTATGGCAGAGCATCAAAATTGCAACAAATATATCCACCAAGGAAGCCGAAACCATTATCAGTCAAACGGATATTTATAACACGTCGCAATCCCTAATACATCTAGCCAATAACATATTTCAAGAATTTTGTCGAATCCTCGAATGCAAAGAAATAGAACTATTGGCTTTGGAAGAAAAACGCAAAAAACTGCAAGAAGAACTACAAAAAATAAGGACCGACATAGAGTGTAAGAAACAATTGTATGAAATGAAATTAACCGAAAGCTTTCATGCATTTTGAACGATTTAAATAATCGTAATACATGTCCCAAAAAAATTAAAGGAAATTCCAATTTAAAGAGACACATAAATAATTGCCCTTTCTAACTGATGTTTCTATTGAGAGTTTGGGAAACGGATTTAGCAAAGTGGATACAGGTGGGACTCAAAATGAAGTATGTAGAAACACAAGTAATATACGAATGTATTAATGACAGATATGAACCATGGTAAAGAAGAAACAATATAAATGATTTACAATATCATATATTAATTACAAAATATTTTTCACATTAACATATTTCTTAAATGTATCAGTATGTAACAGGCTGTAATAGGCTTCTTTATATTTAAATAATTTGGATTGGTCATTACATTCCTTGAGATGATAATAAAAGGATTCGAAAATCATTGTAATCACCTGGAATTAGAAAAAAAATTATTTACGAATTATTTTATTGTTATATTTTCTTACCTGCATTACGTTTTTATCACATTTTTGTACTTTTATAACTTCCATTAGGACTGCTGTAAACTTATCAAAAAATTGTGTTAAATGTGGTTCAATCACAGCCAGATTTATGGGAAATGTGGCGACAACATAACAACGATGTATTTCCTGAATATACAAAACTTGGTAACTGATCATTGGTTATAGAAAGAACAATTCATACCATCAACATATCCATACAAATATTCATGTTTTGCATTAATCGGTACGATTCCAGTATAAACATTTGCAATATAGTTTTCGCCCATCTGTAACATGTATAACTTGTGTTACTACTGCCAAGAACACGTAGCTTGTTGGTTGTTTCGATATCCATCAAATCCATATTAAGACAATCATTGAACTCCATTCGATTTATATTGAAAAATACAAGAAATATACTGACATATTTCATTAATTTTATCGAAGACATGCTATTGGGAGCAAGTGGTATATTCCGCAACAAGATTTCTAAAGAATCGTCCAACTTACTCCACTAAAAAATATAATTTAATTAAATTTCAATGAATGTTGAATATAGACGTTATTAAATCTTCAAACATACCGTAAAACTATCCATATCATTGTAGAAATCAAAACATTTTAATAAACAATCCCATTGGTGCTGAATAAATTCAATTGAATCCATTATGTGTAAATCCTTAAAAATAGCATCGTAGATTACACTATGAATGTTCATGGCAAGGATTTCATCAAAATTCTAAAACAAACTATAATACAATATACATTCGAAATGATGATTTTCTAGTTTTCATTACCCCTTGCTGGAGCATTATTTCAAATATTTGCGTGCTTAAAAACTTGTAATGGGTTTCGTAACATGTTCTGATATTAAGACCAACAGATAAACAAAACATGAGCAGTTGTTTGTCCATAAAGTTATCCGGACAAGAGGAGGACGCAAAAACCTTAAATAAATAAGATATCAAAACAAGGAAATTGGAACGGAAGAACTTTGTACCTTAAGATATTTTACAAAGCCATTTGTAGCTCCCATTTGCCTTTTCCAAGTATCTTTGTGCAATTTCTCTTGGTAGTATCTTAACAATTTGGCATGTACCACTCTCGGGACGTTTGAAAACCTTTGAAGAATTCTCTCAGCATTGTTTAACAACTCCGTCTGATCGATGCAGTACAAAGTATCTCTCACTGACAATTCGCAAAGCAGTAATATGACTTGTGCCTGTGCCTACAAATTTAAAGATCTATTATCTATATTTCCTTTGCAACGGAAGATATGAAAATGTTTATTCATACCTCCTGTAGGTCGACTTCTTCATTTTTCTCTGGACACCCATCCCATGGTTTGACTTGCTCAATCCAGTCATACAACAAAGGCAGCTGTATTCGTAGACATTCATGATATGATTTAAAGTGCTCCGGCTCTATTGGAATGTTGTCCAAATCCTCCCTCAATTGCGGTAACATACATGATTGGATTAGGTCTTGGGCTTTACTCAATGTCCAGGTTCCGTCCATCTTCTGAAATTAAATGTTTTATAAATCAGAATCTAATCGGCAGTCAGTATCAGACTGTTTATTTAATTTAACGCACTGGGAACGTTGGAATTTATTAAATCAAGTTGTCGCTCGCTGTCAAGCCGGACAATTGAAAAGAAGACACAAGAGGAAATGAGTGATAAACATAAAAATCCAATCAAAAACCATAAGAAATAGGTTTCTAGAAGTTCGAAAAATTTGGTCTTAAGAACTCTAGATGGTCGAGAGTTCGTAAACATTTTTTTCTGAGAGACGATTTTATCTCATTGAAATAACTTTTGTTCACTGCAAGGACGAGCATGGTACAATGACGGGAGGTAGAATTCATGGTAAAATAAAAAGATAAGGTAAAGCTACCAGATGATTACAGCTTTCTCTGAGTGTGCCCATGGTTGAAAGAATGTAAAGCTATGCAATCATATGTTTACAATTTTTTCAAAATTAGTTACTTGACAACATCCAATTGTCAAACTTTATATTTACAAATCCATTGTATACACAGAAATCAGGTATGGGAACCAATATTCTATGCAGTGAAATTTGACAATGTAAGTTACATGACTTTACCTTCTTAATTTTACCATGAGTGTGCCCCTCTTCTGCGATTTTGTTTTTGGGTGTCATGGTAAAATTAAGAAGGTAGTCATTTTAAATAAGCATACCCATTTCTGCATTTTCTGTAATTTTCCTTGTCAAATTTTACTCCAAAGAAAAAAAGGTTCCCATCTCTGATTTCTGTATGAATTCATAAATATGCATTTTGACAATGAAATGCTGTCAAATGAATAATATAAAAAAAATTGTAAACATATGATTGCATGACTTTACTTTCTAAATTCTACCATGGGTAATATTAAGAAAGTAAAATATTTCAAATAATCATACACATCTCTGCATTTTCTGTAATTTACCTTGTCAAACTTCACTGCATAAAAAACAGGTTCCCAACTCTGATTAATGAACATATATACAATGGATTTGTAAATATACTTTTTGAAAATGTTGCCAAATTAATAATTTTGCAAAAAAAAAGAAGTAAACACATTATTGCATGACTTTGCCTTCTTTATTCTACCATGATGTATACTCTGTTCCAAACCAGCAATAATCTACTAGTTTTGCAAATTTGTTCGATAACATAAAGCAAAATTGATTATCGTAGTAAAAAGTTGTACATTCTTGCAGTTCTGGAACAGAACATTATTGTTTTGAAAAATATTACATTGAAAAATATTACATTTGAGGGTTTTGAACATTTGTGTACGATGCTTCGAATTCTAGATAGCGTTCATGGTAGAAGAATACAGGTAGTCCCATCGAACCAACTGCTGGGACAATGAACTGTCGAACCAATTCTGAAATTGAAAATTTAAATGAAAAATTATTCAAATTTGTTCAAGTTTTTGAAGAATGCAAATCATAACAATGTCCGATTGGTGTCTCATAAAACCTGCTTATTTTTGAAAAAATAAGCAGAACGTAGAAAAACCTGCTTATTTTTAAAAAAGAAAACCTTTCAAAAATTTTGACATATCAATGTTTTTAACCGTTGATGCATCTACCTGTATTCTTCAACCACGATAGCGCTGTAAAAATGAAAAAAATAGAAATCAGATTTCCATCTCTGATTTGTAAATGTAAAATGGATTTATAAATAAACATTTTGACAATGAAATATTGTGAAATGAATAATTAAAAAAAAAATGTAAACATATGATTGCTTGACTTTACCTTCTTAATTCTACCATTGTAGTACCTGATGTTTATATCAATAATGGACAAATTTGTTATATTTTGTAAATCGCCTTTAATTTTCTTATTGAAATGCATCAAAAAATCTGCAAAAACACATGTCTTTCAACGATATTATGATTGATTTTGACGTTTTTGCTCAATGTTGCATCTTTTCCGTTCCCGTATAGTTTTTGCAGTGTTCTTTTTTACTACTTTTCCCACTAACACAATACTTTGTTTGGACGTATCACCCAGGTCCATATCTTAAAAATTAAACCAATATAAATAACCGATCATATGATTTAACTTAATTTTTTGTAAAACATTATTTGTTTCTTATGCAAGCCACACACTTTACAAGTGGTTGTACAACTGGGAGAGGTTGTATTCAAGGTTGTATCGTTTGTGGCCCGGTTATACGAAGTTGTGTCTCGGTTGTATGGAAAATCAAAATTTTTATTTGGTATGTTGTACCAGCCGATTGTAACGTTAGTGGGCATGTCGCATACAATTTCATTTTGTTTTTATTTTTGAAGGGGCAACACCATTGTTTCTCACATCAAAACATTACGAAATCCAATCAAATATGTGATTTTAATGTATTTATAAAAAGAAATTTCAATTTATAAAATGGAATTTCAAAAATTAATTATAAATAAAAGCTATTGAGTCAATTAAAGAGCATGAATTTTATCCGGTATCATCTTAACCCAAATAAGATCTACGAAAAGTGAAGTTGTACAAAGAAGTTGTACACTAAGTTTCGTTTGTGCCAAAAACACACAATTTGAGAACTCTCCAAGTTGTACAACCAGTTGTATAGTGTGTGGCTAGCATTACCAAATATTGTCTATTTACACATTAAAACAAAATAATCTAGTTATTGATAACATCTTATAATTTTCTTTATCGTTGACATTACATACGCCCTTATTTAGTTCATATCTAAATAGTGCTAAATGAACACATCTCTCTTTACATCATGTGACCAAATGCAACCCTGATGTCATTGCAGAGTAGGAAAAATATCCGTAGGTTGTCGTCTCCCGTTTGTCGATTGTCATATGATCACGAACAAAAATGCTGCGAAATTTAATAATTTTATCTTTGTGCATAGTGGCAAGTAAGTAAAATTGAAAAAATAATTAAAAATATATCCAAAACTATGTGTATTTTGTAAAAATGCCCAGAAAATATACGGAAAATGTTGCAAGAAAAGTGTAAAAATCACAACAAAGTAAAGTGTTGTATCTGTGTGTATGTGTCATGTAAAATTGGGGTTGCACTGAAAAAAAAGAAAAAAAAAATCCATAGTGGAAGATATCTATAAGCAATTGATATAGATAATTCTTAAATATGCATTAAACTGTTTCCTTTTTATTTGCAGTTAGTGCATCGGGTGAATTCACTGTTTTGAGCACACCCAAGTCCTTGTCATTCAAGGGTAACGAGCCACTACCAAGCCAATATGTTGGCGATGTTGTCTATGCCTCATTGGGTAATTCCGTAGCTGGAGACGCACAATGGTCTGGTTTGACAGTTGACGACCCTTTCAATTTCCCCAAGGTTGTTGTTGCTGCCTCATTGAGTGGTGTTGCTCATACTAAGGTTTCCGGAGCCGGCAAGAGTTACGAAATTCAAGGCAACTCGGTAAAGGAAGCTTTGAACGGTGTCTCTGCCCAATTGGAAGCTGATAATGAACCTGTTTGCGATATCGACTTTGAAGATTTAGAAGAAGGTGTAGCCAGCTTCAAGAGTGTTTTTGGTGATGTGCAAGTTAATTCTGTCCCAAATACCAAATATTTGAACAGTGAATTGCATTCTGCTGATAAGCAATTTATCCAAGCTATTGCATACATCAATGCTGCTGCCGATAATTTGGCTAAGTTGCAAAAGACCTGCAACTTTGTTTCCTTCCGTCTGTCTGCCGAGTCTGTTGCTAAAGCTCATGGTGAGAAATCAGAAGCTGTGAATGAAGCCTTGGATCTCTTCACATCTGCTGTCAAGAACTTGAATACTGCTGCCCAAAAGGTCAATAACAACGAAGCTTTGGTATTGTCCATTGTCAACAAATCGGAAAATTCCCGCGCTAAACGGGATGTTCCTGAACCAGGCAAAGTAAGTATATCACTGAAACAAACATTCGACCAAGTCAATAAGAAGTGGGGCAGAATCAGAGCAATTTTTATCACAATTATTAGAAGTTATTGTGTTCTTCACTTTAAATAAGTTTAGAAGGTAGACTATTTGTTAAGAATTATTAAAGTTTAAGAAAGTTTCACAACCATGGCATGAATATATTCACATTTTTTTAAATACTACATATCAACAACAAATTCTAAATCAATTTTTTTAATGTGTAGAACATATTTGGTTACATAGGTATTTTATAGCTGAGGTTAAGAGAAATTGCCTGTACCCACTGGAAACATTAGCTTGGATAAAATATAATTTGTAAAGAAAAATATTCTATAGAAAAAAGTGGTGCTAAGACGAACATTGTGGTAGAATTTTTGTTCCCATCGAAGATTTTTACAATATATTGTAGTTCGTTCAATTAAATGGAAAAAAACATGAATGTATCAATGGGAAAATCACGCCACGGAAATTCATTACTTTCCTAAGTTATGCCCTTAGAGAACACACTCAAATAGTATATGTGTACTTTTTTCACATATGGCTGACTTCAGTTAAAACACATATGACTGACCTGACGTAATTAAGGAAAACAAATCATGTGTTTACAACATTTATTTCAACTTTACCTTTACCATACAATTATTTTTTCTTTTTATTTTAGGATTACAACTTGGCTGAATACTATAACCAAGATTATCCAGTAATCTTCAACATCATCTTATGGTTCATGGTAACATTCGGTTTCGCCTTGTTGGCTATTTGCTACGCCATCGGTTCAATGGATCCTGGACGTGATTCCATCATTTACCGTATGACTTCAACCAGAATGAAGAAGGATAATTAAATTGTGATGCACAATGTACCAGCATTATTTTTATTAGTACTTGTATTTGTTAACACAAAAGACTAGGCAATTTTTATTCTTTCTCCTCTTTCAGGTGTTGACAACATTTAAGTTATTCCATTTTTTGAACCTTTTGTTGTTCTAAATTAAAATGTGTGTTACAAATCAATTCCTTTCCCAAGCAACAACATCTAAATAAGACATCTATAATAAACTAAAATATATTATTCATTATCAGCAACAACAACAATAATATTAATAATATATATGTATAGTGTAATAAATATACCTATTAGTAAGACAATTTCTTATATAAGTATTAATTGTTCAAGAAAGATACGATATGCACTTAGAGAATATAATACATACAACTATTGGGGTCTTTTCTTATGTATTATAATTTATTTAAGCTACAAACAAATCCGTTGTTATTACCTTTAACTACATATTCCAATTTATTATTTTTTGTTGTAGCATGTTTGTTTTTCTCCTTGATTAAAAAAAAAACATTAAAAGTAAAACAGCGTGTGTGTTCTTATTAATTAAATAGAATTCCGTTTAAATATATTGGAAAATTACAAAACGTGACTTACTTTACTTAAATCGGCGCTAGTTAACAAAAAAATATCTTTCGACTAAAAAAATCATCGAGAAATTGAAAATAAAAGACATCTATTGTGCGTGGTTCTATACACCAGATGTCGGTAATGTTGCTTTATAATTAGGCTACGTTCCGTTGATACTTTCGATGTATTTAAAGAATCAGTGTCAATGTCACAAAATCGTATCGAAATGGGTTGAAATCCGTAATTCAAAATCGTTCGTTTTTATTTTAGCTTCTTCAGATTTCGTACGATTTGGTAAACTACGATTTCAGTGTAAATATGGCAACATTATATATTAAATATGGTAAAATTAGGGGAATGAAAGAATGAATGCATGAGGAATCAAAACAAAACATGTAATTAAAAATAATATAGAAGTGTAGGTATTCTTTTCTTTCTTTTTTGTGCAAAAAGAAACATTGCAATTGATTCCTCAATTTCACTGAGCACACATTTGTTAAAAGGACCACAACCAGTTTTTGTCTTTTCCTTTTTATTGTGATACATTTTTTTTTAACGTTTACTGTCCAATCTTACCTTGTCTTTTTCCACCCATTGCAATCTTTGATGGGTGGTCCCGAGGAATGTAGTTTTTCAGTGAGTTGTGACCAACTCGTTTCGGCAACCACTCGATCACCTTTGACATAGCACTCGCTAGGTCCATAAAACCGATGAACATTTTTTCTTGTGCTGAATTTCTGTGCCAGCCCCTTAAATATTTATTAATGATTAATTGATTGAACGGCATTCCACAATACATATTTCACATATTTAAAAATACTTACTTTTTGTACAAAATTCCTTTTTTATGTTGTTTTTGTTTTGTTTTCTCTCTTTGCTTCATTTTATTATTAGTAATACCATATTGTTTGTTTTTCACAGATGAATAATTTTTGTTTGACGAAAAAAGTGATTTTCAAGAAAAAAGTGATGTGGCAACACTTTATTAACAATTGCCTTCGTCAATTGAGAAACCATTAAAATTTGGTAATTATTTTGAGAGTGTTTTAAAGTCACAAGTTTCCATAAAAAACAATTTCAGAAAAATAAAAATTAAAGTGGTTTCAAATCGAATAAATTTTGAGATTTACATTTTCTGAAGAAGCTAAATACGAAATTAAAATCACTTCGTATCGAAATCATTCTTGTGACATGTCTGCATGACTTTGCTCAAAGGAATTGCAACCCTGACTTTCCACACACACACTCGTTATTCCCTTCCTGCAGTGAACAAACAGCTGTTTTGGTGGAAGAAATGTGTGTTTTTAGAACCCTTTGAGCGGTTATTTTTAATATTCTGGAGCCCTTTTCCAGACGCCGACAAAATTAGTAGAGCGCCGCCGTCGTAAAAAATCCACCCGGTCGTTGTCTGAACGAGACTTGAAGAAAACAAAACAACCTGAATTTTAATATATATAAAATACAAATTGATTGACGTTTACAATAACTCCTATCAACCATGTCCATCGAAATAGAATCTGCTGAGTAAGAAAATATATTTTCAATTGAAATTGCATTTATATACTTGCATTTTATTTCAGTGTTATCCGCTTGATACAACAATATCTCAAGGAGTCCAATTTGTACAAAACCCTACAAACTCTGCAGGAGGAAACCGGGGTTTCCCTTAACACCGTCGACAGTGTTGATGGCTTTGTGCAGGACATAACGAACGGACATTGGGATACAGTACTTAAAGTGACACAGAGTCTCAAATTGCCAGACAAAAAATTGTTGAATTTATATGAACAGATAGTTCTCGAATTAATAGAACTACGAGAGTTGGGTGCAGCGCGTTCATTATTGCGACAAACAGATCCAATGATAATGTTGAAGCAACAGGAACCGGAAAGGTACATACATTTGGGTAAGTTTTGACTCTCCAAGTGGCACGCGAAATGCATATTTGTAAGAATCGCCTATAATGCAGTATTATGGGAAGATTGTTAGAAAATTTATGTTTTGGAATCCTGCAAGGAAGACGAGGGACAAGAAAATGTACTCCCGACATTCTGTCTGAAGATTAACGAAATTCCTACTGTCTCTATCTATTACCTACGAAACCACAGTCAAAGGAAGGGGCTTGAAATTGAGCTTGAAATGTTGAGCGTAAATGTAGTGTTTTCTTAACGCGTGCTTAATCGGTCAATTACCATTTCAACAAATTCAGAGGGTTTTATTACTTTTTAATCGTACATGGAAATGGACAAATCTTGGAAGAAAGAGATATTTAACTCAACTCCCGAAGTTAACAATTGTTTTTCTCGGCCGATTATACAAACGTGAAACATAGCCCTTAAATCTTAAAAAAAATATATAGCTCAGTTTTAAAGATTTCCCGTCATTATTAATTTATTTATCCCATTATGGTGTAGGTTATTTCTCATTTTTGCTCAAGATTATTTCTTCGGATGCTGCTTATTTAGTAATAAAAACAGACTTAATTATCAAACGATTAAATTAATTACTTAAATAATCCTATTTCGCCTTTACTTTTGTTTTTAGAAAATATGCTTCAGCGGGCCTATTTTGATCCTCGAGAAGCTTATCCGGAAAACAGCAGCAAAGAGAAACGTCGACATACCATTGCTCAAGAGTTAAGCGGTGAAGTACACGTAGTGCCATCATCTCGTCTCTTAGCTTTACTTGGCCAAGCATTGAAGTGGCAACAACATCAAGGTTTATTACCGCCTGGAACAACGATCGATTTGTTCCGTGGTAAGGCCGCAATGAAAGATCAAGAAGAAGAAATGTATCCAACACAAATGTTTCGTCAAATTAAGTTCGGTCAAAAATCTCACGTGGAGTGTGGTCAATTTTCACCTGATGGTCAATATCTCATAACAGGCAGTGTTGATGGTTTCATAGAAGTTTGGAATTTCACTACCGGTAAAATAAGAAAGGATTTGAAATATCAAGCACAAGATCAGTTTATGATGATGGAACAAGCTGTACTGGCATTGGCCTATTCGCGAGATTCCGAAATGGTTGCGTCCGGATCACAGGATGGCCAAATAAAGGTATGGCGCATAATGACTGGCCAGTGTTTGAGAAAATTTGACAAAGCCCATACTAAGGGTATAACATGTTTGCAATTTTCACGTGATAACAGTCAGGTTTTGAGTGCGTCTTTCGATCACACAATACGACTGCACGGCCTCAAATCCGGAAAAATGCTTAAAGAATTTAAAGGGCACACTTCATTTGTAAATGAGGTAACATTTACACCAGACGGTCATAGTGTACTCAGTGCTTCATCGGATGGAACTGTAAAGATCTGGTCTTTGAAAACCACTGAATGTTTATCTACCTACAAACCTCTTGGCAATGAGTTGGCCGTCAATACAGTGTTAATTTTACCCAAAAATCCTGAACATTTCATTGTTTGTAATCGTTCAAATACTGTGGTCATTATGAATATGGCTGGACAGATTGTGAGGTCATTTAGTTCCGGTAAAAGAGAAGGCGGTGCATTTATAGCAGCAACATTATCACCCCGAGGAGAATTCATTTATTGTGCTGGAGAGGATCAAGTGTTGTATTGTTTTTCCGTTTCGTCGGGAAAATTGGAAAGAACTTTAAATGTAAGTATATTAAGAGTGATCTGATTGAATTTTGGTTTTACATTGATGCCAATTTTATTTTAAAGGTACATGAAAAAGATGTAATCGGTTTGGCCCATCACCCACACCAAAATTTATTAGCCACCTACAGTGAAGATGGTCTGCTGAAATTATGGAAACCTTAAATATTATAGTAGCCTATGTAAGTTAGGTTTAATTACTTTTTTTTAAGTAGACTAGTTTTCATTCATTCTGTAAGACTATCAGAAAAGAAATAAAAAAAAAAACATTTGACTGCTCCCTCATAACATTTAAAAGAAGACATATATGTAGGTATGTATGTATTTCCCTACGCCCTCTTGCAATCCAATAATCTGCAAAATTGGGTTTAATTAAGAATTATGCAAAATATACTGAAGCTATAAACATATTGACAAATATGTAACTTGCAATGTGTAGCAAATGAATGGGCTACCATTTTTAAGCAAAATGAAATAAAAAGAAAAAAACGTCAGCGATCGTAGCAGACATTATACATTTATCTTTAATTGATGACAGACTATATATCTGTTGTCTATCATGTATAACTCATATAATCAACATTTGATTGCAGGGCAAAATAAATCTTTAGTTTATCATAGACATTGGGCGAATAAACAACAGATTTTGTTTTCTGCAAAGAAATATTTTTATAATTTATTGTCCTCAACTTATATCGGAGTCAAGATGAAAAGTGATGAGATCATTGATAAAATGCGCAATAAACTTCAGGAATCTGATCCTTCGAATCGCAGTGTAACAAATGTATTTCAATTTCATTTCACTGATTCAGATGGCAACCTAATTAAAAGTATGGGTATGTATTGGCTTGCTGCAATTGGGATTACTTGACAGAACATGTGTGCATTTTTTGTGGGATTTGCTTTACTTGCTTATTAATTGATATCTCAAAAGTTTTTGATTTTAAAGAATTAAACATATACGAGGGTACTTGCACGGACGCCGATGCAGAAATAACTGTTAGCGATGAAAATTTTTATTTGGTTGGTTCAAAAGAAACGACATTTGACGATTTACTTGCTAATGTAAGTTAATAAACACGAATTGATCGTAATTGTTTATTAAATTTTTTATTTATTTTTGTTACAGAACAATGTCAAAATAGATGGTGATGCAGAAGCTTTTAACAAACTAAAGGAAAAGTTTCGTCTAAATGCCAAAAAAGAGTAGAATCAATAGCGACTGAGAGAATTTGTAATCCTCGAAAATATTTAACGAACAACTTTGTAGAATTTTAATAGTTCCTGTATAGCATGTTTAACACACATAAAATGTAACAATGTGAAATATAAAATAAAATTAGATGATTGTAGTTCAATATAAATATATTTATTGGAAGTTGTTTTAAATGTTTGCAAAATTTCATCGAGGTGGTCATAAGGAATTAATGTCTGCTTTGATACAGAACAGTATTTTTACCGCTACTAATACTTGGCTGGGTCGATTGTTCCAGGATCATACAACCGACCGTCATCATAACGAGATTAATATATTGTTGTAACAGCCTTACTCTTGTTACCGAATGTGCAAAAATGACAGACATTGGACGGTAAGAAAGTGTCCCTGAAAATTTATGACAACATTTTTTTTTTTATAAAAAGATCATCTTGTCTTATTGGTAATAGGCCATAACGCCTTCTGTGAAAATATTTTCTGATAATAACATTGAGAAGTTCCCTTTTATGAGAACATATGGAATGTAATGTGGTTTAGAAGCACACTCTTTAACTAGGAAAATTGGAAATCCTTTTGAAAGAGTTCTTCTGGGGTTCATTTATTATACTATTTATGATCATCTGGTCTTCTATGCATATGTCATCTGGTTACCTATGGCGACTGTGCAGCTTCTTTGTGAACATCTTTATGTATTAATGGAATTCTCATGTTTCAAGGGAAGACTTTCAGTTCTTCTTTTTCTTTCGGTCCTAATTCTGATCTAATGTCAGAAGATTTTCTGGTGTCCTTAGTCGGGGATCTTCAAGCCATGATTGCGAACTCCTGTTGTACTTGAGGAGACTTTTTTATATAGGAGTCCAGAACCACAGAAAACCAGAGAGCCAGGGGCCCGACCATAGTCTAATGAATATAAAGACAATGGAATGTTAGTTTTGTGTTTATTTCCGGGTGGTTTTGAGCACTATCTTGCAATAGTCAACATGCTGATTGAGTCAGTCGACCTACTCGACTTCGGAAACACATTTAATGTAATTAATTTCTAAGCCACTCGTCCAACAGCTGTTCAAATTATTCCAGTGACAGCTCATTATATTGTTTACAAGCTTACAAAAGCATTTTGGGGAGAATTTTCCAGAAAAAAAGATGTTCGTGATGGAATTCAAGCGTGATAGTGTGATTTCTTTATATTTGGCTGGAAACCACAAGTGGCTATTGTTAGAGCACTCCAGCATTTAAATGTGAATAAATCTTTTGTGTCTCGTGCCATCGCTCGTACCGTGATACTGGTGGCGTAGCCCGACGTCAAGCAAGTGAACGGAAGAAAACAGCAACATCAGGACAAATGGTTCGAAAAGTAAAGCCACCCAAGAATGGTTGAAAAATAAGGTTCTTCGCTTCATTACTTGCGCACAGTGGCCACCAAAATCTCCGGATACTAATCTGTTGAACTAAGTGTGTCTGGAGTATATTGGAAAACAAGGTTGACACTAAAAAATGCCAAAGTGTGGATCACCTCAAGCAAGCGCTTCGCCGATTGGGCCAAAATACCGCAGAACAACATTCGACAAAGGTGACCAATTCGAACAAATCTAAACTTATTCTAAAGTTTGATGCTATTTCCGACATTTTTTGCTTTCGTTTAATAAAATTATAAAAAAATGTAAAAATTATGGCGTTTGACTTTGTTGCAGTTTTTTTATCTCAACCTGTATGTTCCAAATTAAGGGTACTTAAAGTCGATATTAGCGGACATTTTTTCAGAGTGGGATATTCCATATATTAGTTCCTACTCTATATATATTCCTTTTATAAACCTTTATTTGTTACGGGTAGCTCTACTAAATATGCATAGTGGTGTAGTGGCAAAGTCGGCCCTGTCCGACATTTGACGTTGGCTCAAGAATTACACTTAATTGTTTGCGTATTTGTCGATGTCATCATACATCTGACAAATATCCTACAATTGTTTTTAACATTTTTGATTTGAGTGACTAGCATTTTCACTCTTATTCCTGAAACGACATAGACATCTGCTGGTCTGAATAGCTGGTAAGATCGGAATGTCTTTTCGTTCGGTATTATCTGAGAACACGATCTGCTGTTCTAGTCTTCTATTAGAAAATCTTTTTAAGAAGTGCTGAAGAAATTTTTAAAAGACAAAAAGGTCTTATAAAATATCAGAGAAATCATTGAAAACAAAAAATTAAAAGAAATTATCACATCGTTCTTCACATTGAGGACAAGAATCTTCCCATCATATATTTTCTTACATGGGAGTTTCTCAGGTTTAAGACTTTCAAAAGTTTTAGTTCACCCCTTTGCCCCTTTTTCCACCTTTTCCGGTGTACCATTTTCTAGGAATGTAACCAGATTAAAAAAAAATCAATTTGCATTGTTTTTAACATTTTTGTCTTCTTTAATGGTAGCGGATACAAAAGTCAAATCCGGAATCCTGGGGAAATTCATGTTTTTCTTGCTTATACTTACCAATACTAGACTTTGTGAAATAAAATAACTAGATTTTCAATTAAATATTTCAGTTTTTCATTTAGTTTTTTCTTCATTTATTTAAAATTAATGGTTTTCAAAATACTTGCTAATTTGTTGTTGTTTCATTACTTTTCATCTCAATATTTCAATTTGTTTGAATATTTGTTTTTGGCAAGCACTTGTTTCAAATAAAATCTCAATAATACAAATATACATATACATAATAATAATAATAATTATAACAAAAATATCATTTATATAAATGTAATGTAATCAAATAAAATATATATGTTTGTATACAATAATCATAATAATTATAATAACTGATAAATCAATCAATAATCTTTGCTAGATTGATTTCATTTTTAACATTGTTGTATGGTTTTGTTTGGGTTTTCTTTTTTTAAAAACGATATATAATAACGTACACATACATACATGTTTTGAAGTTGTGTGTGTGTGTTTATCGTGTATTTGTTATGTGAAAGGGGTTCTTTGGGATTTAATTTGTTTTTATTATATAATATATAAATAACATAATGTTGACAAACAGTTTTTGTTGTTTAGTTTTTGTTTTTCATTTGAAATAAAAACAGTTTCCTTTTTTTCTCTTCTAAACATTTATGTAATTGTTGTGTGATTTCCTGTTTTGTTTATGTTGGTTTTTTCTTTTTTTTTCAAATTTAGTTTTAATTATTCAATGATCATTTTCAATTCGTTTCGTTAAATACTTCTTTTATTTATCTGTAATGTTAACATGATTTAGTTGTTTATTTAATTAGTTTTGGGGATTTTTCATCAGGGTTTGCCTTTGTAATATTAGGGCTTGTTTTTGTAGTTCTTTATGTATAATTTAATAGTTTACTTCCATTGTTGTTGAATTAATATTGTTTGTTTTTGAGAAATTGGTTTATTGTTAATTTTGCAATTACTTCTGCTTTAGTTTAAATATGTATTTTTTATTTCGTCCATTTTTATTGTATTTTAAATTTAAGAAGATTCCTTGTTTTATATTATTTTTTAATTCACTTAATTATATTTTGTGTTTTTTATTTAAAATTTTCTAACAATGTTTATTTCATTTTTTTAAATTTATTTAAATAACAGCTTCAAAAGGAAGCCATTTCCGTGTTATTTTTCTGCTTAAATGAAAACCTAAAAAAATCATTTGTTTTTTTTTAATTCAACAGAAATTTGTTTTAATATTTTTTTTGTTGATTTTATTGGCTTAGTACTTAGCTTAATATTTTTGAAGTTTAGTTTTCATTTCATTTTAATTTATATTTAATTTAACAACAATTTTATTAACTTTTTTGTTTTTCTTTTTTATTACTGTTTTAGTTGACCTTTCTTAACATGTACTTGTTTATATTTATTTCAATATTATTTTATTGCAAAACGTAAGTGCTCTATGAAACCAATAACTTTTTTTTGTTTTTCGGGGTGTCCGATTAAAAATTATAATTTCTCCTTTTTTTAAAAAATGTAAAAAAAAATAATTATAAAAAGTGTTTAAAATGTGTACATCAGTTGTTTCGTTATTGTTTTAATTTAATTGGATTTTTATTTTTTATAATTGTTTTTATGTTTTAGTACTACCAACATTTATTATTATTTTTAACGTATTCATTTTAACTTTTTTTACGTAATTAATAGATTTTAATTATTCCTTTGTAGTTTATTGGGAATGAGTTTGTCTGCTACGGTATAGCGACTTCAGAAACATGTTTTGCATTTTGTGCATCTATTTTCACTCGGTATTGAAACTTGGAGAGGGATTTTTATACGGGTGGAAGCGCTCCTGAGTCAGTGCTCGAAAAAGTGTGCCAAAAGTTATCATATGCTTTGTTGGTACAAATTACCGACAATGCTTTCCAATTATTTGGTTTTATTTCGCAGCAAGCAAGCTAGGTTTGAGAAAAACCAATTTTATTTCCACTCTAAAACGAGCAAAGCCTGCTCGCCCTTATGTGAGCAAAACCGAAAAATAAAGTTTGCTCGTTTTGTTTTTTTACTCCCGGGAATGCTTCGGTTTCGAGTGAGTTTTTCAGAGGTCTGGTTTGTTTTGGCCGGATAACCTTAGTTGTAAGAAAAAAACTAGGTTCACTTTAGCATAGATATTTTCAGAAAACGCTGACGTCTTAATTCGCATGTTAGTGCCACATTCTGGGCAGGTGTTCTGCATTGTGTTATCAAATAGAGAACAATACAAATTTGGATTGTTGCATCCCCCTAATCTAAATTGTGTAATAACTTCTCTGGTTTGTCGGAGCAACAAATCGGAATTTCACCATAGTGAGAATTCTTGTTAGTGCTACTTGATGTTACAGTTCACCCATAAAACTTTGTGATTGCAGTCGACGCATTTCTCAATCTTCTATTCTTCGCATTTTTAAAAGTTGGGCATATAACTAAGGCCGTGGGAATGGAAGATCAGTTATACTGATATTTGCTTTACAGTTTTCGATGACTAACAAAAAAAGCAATTTTCATTATTTTGGAACCTAGGCCGGTCGAATTTAAACACGAGTATTTTTCTAGATTGATCTAGATGCACAAGAAAATAGAAAATCATTGTGATCACAAATAACTTTGAGAATAACCGCCAGTACAGATTTTTAATGTAGCATTCGGATTGAGTAACTGGAATTTAACGTAAAATGCTTAAAAGCCTCAGTCAAATAGTAGATGAATAATCACGGCAAATAGGCCGAGTTTAGTGAAAATGACAAAAATATATAACTATAATCTCCATTTCTTAAGAGAAGTTTTGTGGTACAAAATCTTTCAGTGGCGATGACAATATCTTACGATCGCCACTGAAAGATTTTGTACCACAAAACTTCTCCCGAGAAATAGAGATTATAGTTATCTATTTTTGTCCCTTTGCAATGTTTTCTTTGAGATTCTTATAAATCAGATTTAATTTAAACATATTTTCTTGTGGACTTGGTAAAATATTATAAAAATTTTTAAAAATTTGAAATTGATTTTTATATTTTTTTTTGTTTAAGAACTAAAATGTTTAGCTTTTAGTTGCAACTTTTTTTTGATAATCAGTTTGTAAGATTTTTATTCTATTTGATTTGTAAAATTATTTCAATTTTATTTAATCTTTTGTTGTTGTTTTTTTTTTGGAAGATGCAATTTTGATAGTCACTAATTTGTTTTCATTAATATAATTCGATTTTATTGTTTTATTATTTTTTTTTGATACAATTTTTGGTGGAATTCGTTAAAATTATACCAATATTTGAGCGCATTTTAATCATGTATAATTGTTTGTGGTTTATTTATATATATGTATTGATTTTATTGCGTGTATTGTTTATGGGGTAAAAGGAATTCAGGAACGATTCAGGAATTCAAGTTTGAAAAGTTTTGAAATGCAAAAGTGCAAAAAATTTAATTAAAACTGTTATGATATCTTGAACATTCAAAATATTTCCGAGAACGGTCATATATTTACTAGTCACCGGAATAGTTGTGCTTGATGATCCTGTGAATATATATAAACAGAGAGACAGAAGCTTCTTCTATTATATAAATCCATGGTGTGTTTGAAGTGTAGAAACACGCTGGAAATGTGTATTATAAGAGGTTTTATAACAGAACACTGTAACCAAGATCATGCCTTGGGAAAGCGGCTATACTATAGAGAAGAATCAAAAACGGTCGAGTCCAAGCCCAATTCTAATACTGAAAAATCGTTAGAAGGATTCTTCCGCCCTTTGATAATTCAAACTAATGTCATGTCAAACTTCAAATTGGAAACCATAGAAATCGGAGTAATATTTTTGATTGTAAATCTGAAAGCTCTCGAAATTAGCTTAGCTGGCCCTAAGTGCGGCCATGGATGAATATTTTGTATTCAAGACTGGACAAAAAGGCGAAAATATAAAAAAACACATCAAATCTATTACATATTTTAGTGAATTCTTTAACCTTAACTGAAATATTTATCCAAAAAAGGAACATACTAACTGCGGATTTTTTTCCATGTCTATTTGTATCATTTTTAAACATAAGATTAGGAGCATGTGTATTATTTTATTCCTTTTAAAACATATTTTTATCCTCCAAAAAATCGATGTCAATTTAATGACATGGGCATATCAGTCCCCATATAACAATACCTTCTGACATTGTGGTTTATCGAGTTTTGAAGATGAGAATATACAGTATCTTGTCCAAGAACTTTGTTTTAATTTCAAAACATTTCAAATCCGTGTCACTTGAGACAAAACAAAACATGCAATACAAAGTATGGATGCATAATTTGTTTTCACAATGGTTATTGTAATACGAGGAAACATTGCAAGAAATATTTTAAAGATCACCAACCGATTAGAAATGTAGATTATGAATTCCTCTCAAATATTTGTATATTCAATGTATATGATTCGGAACGTTTGCTGTTATGGGATGGGAATGTAAAAATATTCAAACTGGTTAGGTGTATTTTTTTTTTTTGGAATTATGTAGGTGTATGTTTATATATTGTTTTCGCTATTAACTATTAATTATTATTGTTATTGAATTGTTGTTGTGGTTGTTCTTTTCGTATTGAATTAAAAACGTTACATATGTAATTATCTCTTCTTATGACTTGCAAAAAGTTTATGTTTGTTTGTTCTCATTATGATTTCTTGTTAATTGTTTTCAGTTTGTTTCCTAATCATATTTAAGAATATTATTTGTATCAAATATAAAAATCAACAATATTTATGTTTTATATAATTCATTTAAACTGTTTTATTTAGTTTAGTTTAGTCAGTTGTGAAATTTAGTTTTGGTATTTCTTTTTTAGTTTTCTTTATTTTTTATTTTTCCATTCAGTGTTGTTATACGTATTTGAATTTGTTTTATATTGTTGAATTATAGTTTGGAAATTGAGTGATTCAGTTTGTAGTTTTGTTTGCTCTTGCTGTAGTCAATTTCATTCAAACATATTCTACTATATAATTAATTTTGTTTTTTTTTTTTTATAATTTTAATATCTTTTTCTTGAAAATTGATTCATTTTGTTTTGTTAAAAATTTTTCTTATATCATTTTATTTTGTTTTTGTTCATTCAATTCGTTTATATTTTTAATATATAGAATCCTTTTGTTTTTATTTTTTTATTAGTTTCTTAATTTTAAATTGTTTTTATTTTTTGTTTGTTTATTTGTTTGCATTTGTCTTTTGGGTATTGTTAACTTTTGAATTGTATTACTTTCTTTTGAATATAATTATCAATTTTTTTGCTTGCTCAGAATTCGTACATCTCCTGATTGTATTAAAATAAGGAAAAAAAAAAAATTAAAAATTGTCTCTAAAAATATCTAAATATATCTAAAACAATAATCATTAGTAATTTAATTTAAAACAAGCTTCCCTTAAATATTAAAAGAGATTAAAAATTAAATATAATTAAACAAATGATTTCCGGTTGTTTTGAAATTTTCTTAAATAAAATAATTTTGTTAGAGTTTTTTGTAAATGTTAAACGGTTTCTCCACCACCTATTACAACAGCACCTCCAACATGGGCCTGCATCATATGTTGTCCCAGATTTTCCGTTTCACAATCGTTTAGAAATGGTATACTGCCAATGGAATCGTTTGAGGTCGATGATGAATCTTCCAGTGAGTCGCCATTGATGAGTATTCCGGGATAGTTGCCGGGTCCCAAATCGAGACTAGAACCCGATATGCAAATATGTGGTGGTTGATGTATGGCACGTGGTGGCAGTGGTGCTGGTGGTATGATGAGAGTGCCACTATTTAGACCATGTAAACTACCCGCAATACTTGCACCACCGCTCTGCAGATGACGACGACTGGAGTTGAGACCTGAAGAAAACAATATAAAAGGTTTTAATGAATGAATTCCTGTGAAGGTTGAATGTTGCAAAATATAACACAAACAAGCAAAAAAGCCGAACTTTTAGTACCCTCCACCATTTCGAACAAATTTGAAAATTTTCAAAAAAATAAATAAAATTCGCTAAAAAATCTTTTAAAATTTTAAAAATACCGAATATAGCCGTTATATTGGCGTCTATACAAAGACATGGACCTGCATAGGCAACATTCGTAAAAAACCATTACAGTATTCAAATACGAAACTTAAAAAAAAAAACGGCGAATAATATAGCTAAAATTGTCAAAATGCCTAATATGGGGAGGTACTGATATATGGTGCCTATACGACGACCTGGACCTGCATAGACAATTTTCTGTCACAGACTATCTATAAGAAACTTCAAATACGAAATTTCAAACAATTTATGTGAATATTGTACCTAAAATCGTCAAAATACCTAATATCGCCGAGAGGGGGGTACTGATATATGGGCCTTATATAATTTTCTGCCATAGAGTGTAGTTCTAATTACCAACTCTAAATACCAAATTTGGAACAATTCCGGTTTATAATGCCGCTAAAATCATCAAAATACCGTCCATAGGTTGTAGTAACCATTAAGATCTCCCAATACGAAATTTGAACCGATTCTGGTGAATAATGTTGCTGAAATTATCAAAATACCGAAAATCGGGAGCTACCGTTATATGGGGGCTATACGTAGACGTGGACCTGCATACAAAAATGTTTGTCATAGGCTGTAGAATCCATTACGAACTTCAAATATGATATTTGAAATAATTCCGGCAAATAATGTCACTTAAATCAAGAAAATACCGAATATTGGGAGGTACCGTTATATGGGGGCTATACGAAGACGTTGACCTGCATACACAAATTTTTGTCATATTCTGTAGTACCTATTAAGAACTTTAAATATGAAATTTGAAATAATTCCGGTAAATATTGTGGCTAAAATCATGAAAATACTGAATATCGGGAGGTATACGAAAACGTGAACCGATATGTCCCATTCACGAACTTAACCTGCCTACTGGTAAACTATGCATGTATACAAAATTTTAGTCTTCCATCTCAATTCGTTCTAAAGATAACGTGATTACAACAGAACGACAGACAGACAAGCAGACGGACATCGCTAGATCGTCTTAGAATTTTACGCTGATTCAGAATATATACACTTTGTAGGGTCTAACATAAATATTTCGAGGAGTTACAAACGGAATGACAAAGCTAATATACCCTCCATAGAATGGTGGAAGTCATAAAAACTGTTTTCTTTTTATTTTTTTTGCGCGACCTTTTTGAGAGGACTCTTGGGCCCTCCACTTGGATTGCAAAGGAACTTTCAAGGGAGGGAGATGCACTAACGAAAACTTTTTAGACCTTGGATCCACCAGGGTCCATTTTTAACGAATTTTCAAAGGAGCCCTGGATGCATCAGCAAATGGCCTTCGCCTTAATAAGGCAACACATTTAAACAAAGAATTTACAGAATGGTGGAGGGTATAAAAAATAATTTCGATTTCAAAAATTCAATCACAATTTTAATAAAAAGAAGAGCCGAAATGATGAGGATTCGTCAAAAAAAACTCACAATTTACCTTCACAAAATAAAAATCACACAACTTAAAATCTTCTAAAAACTGAAAATAAAACAGACAAACATAAATTCAAAATAAAAAACGGAAAAAATCGATCAATTGATCCACTTACCCGTGGCACTTGTTTGCGAATCATAGTGAGCATTACGATGCAGACCCAATTGATGAAGCTGCTGTCTACGTTTTCTTCTGGAGTGATAGAGTATGCATAGGAGACAAATTAGGAACGAGACGACGAGAAGTGTTGTTATAATTAGAACGCCGTGATCCTCCGCCTGTGCTTTTGTGGTACCTGTGTTACGCAGCATTTGTTTCGATGCCGAAAAAAGAGCCAAAAAAATATTTTTCACATTTGTTAAAAAATATTCAACATTTGAAATGACTTAATTTTCGTTTAATTATAAAAATAAAAATATTTATATATATATACAATATTTAAAATAAATTTTTATATAGATGATATACATACATATATATAAGAGTTTACAAATATATATGTGATGATATATTGAAATAATACATAAAAATGGATATACAACATGTTTATTTTTCTGTGGTGATTTACTATGTATTAAAATATACATGTATTTGGGATGTTAATGAAGTAAATGGGGCAGGGTGGCAAGAATATGTCATGAGGTTTATGTATATATCATCAAAATCGGCTTTGTGTGCTCACAAATATTTCTTCATTTTGAATTTACTTTTCACACAAAATCCGATTCAGACAGCATACTCATGTGTATGTTTAGTGTGAAAATCTTTTATTGGGAGTTTTTTAATTTGTTTCCTTTATTCGGTAAATCTACAAAATGAATACGGGGCAATGGGGCCAATGTCAATTTTTAAATTTTTACAAAACGTTAATCTAAATGTATAAACACGGTGAAGAGAATGCATGGAATTGTGCATGGTGAATTGGGTGGGAATTGTAATATCGAGTTTTACTTTACTAAAATTACTTCAAGTGATTTGGAGTGCATGAATGTAATTTAAAAAATGTACGTGCTGTATACAAAAATGAACAAAAACAACTAGCTAACTACTTAACAAATCCCTTGCATGGAGGAGATCTATATATTAGGGCAGGTTTTCTTTTTTTTATTTCTTAAACAGTTGCTACAGCTACGAAAAAGTTACTCCTAAATTACCTAAGCTACCAAACAATACATGAATTATACAAATGGTGAAAAGATATGAATTGAGTTCGAACAAATGTTTTTTTTATATCGCAGAGTGAATCCATTTAAATTTGAAGTTGCTAAAGCAAATATCTGATCTGGAGTTAGAAAAAAAGAAAAAATATATATTTATTTAACCCATTTAGGAGTTAAATTATACAATATATTAAGATAGAACTAGTAAACAGCATTAAGTTCGGCCGGACCGAACTTTAAATACACTCCACCTTAGGGTCAAGGAAACGCTAGAACCCATTATGACCAACAAATAGCAATTTTTAGACAAATTCGTGAAAAAAGATGTGGCAATAATCATGAAAATATCGGGAGGTACCGTTATATGGAGACTATACCAAAAAATGGGCCTGCACCAGGGATGGAAAATTCAGTACAATGATACTTTTTTAAGTACCATTTCACTTCAAAAAGTACCTAAGTACTCCCGCGGGAAATTCAGTACCATTTCACATAACGTGTCTCCATTATAATGCAATTAGGGTAAATCGACGTTTAAATAAGATCGCGTTGCTTCATTCAAATTCTTACGACACCATTGGCACTAACTTCGTTTATCATTGCAAATGTATGGATATAAGTGATATCGATAAAGGTATCGATATATGATATTTTGAAAATCTAAATGTTGCCATCTTTAGTTAAAACCATGACAATCATGTGTTTTGACTGAGGCAAACACGGAATTTTTTCAAAAGTGGAAACAATCATTTAAAGAGTCAATACATTTCCCAAGGAAGAACAAAATTTTGAAACATTAACTCTCACTTTAGAGCATTATCTGATTATCCTAAACTTAAAAATGTAAAATGGTAATATTAGTGATTTTTGGCTTAATGTTAGTGTTATTAAAAACGATTGGCGGAATTAATGTTCCCAGATATATCATGAATTGCCTTTGGTATATAATCAATTCCCCATTCTTCAGTGAATGTTGAACGAATATTTTCAATTCAAAATGCCACTAAGACTAAAGAGAAATCGTCTACAGCTAGAAGTCTTTCTAATCTCATAAGGTCGAAAGATCTTCTTAAATCGAATAATTCTTGCTGTTTTGATTACAAAATTCCAGACAACTTCCTTGAGAATAACAATTAATCATAAAATAACTACAAAATTCAGAATGTTATATAAGAAAAAATGATCTCACATTTATGTTCCTGGAAGGTATATACATATCATGGCAGAAGACAGTAACGCATCAGCTTGGGAGCATTGATATGTCAAAAAAAATTAAATGTTTTTTCAATATAAGTGGATTTTTATATGTTTTCTACTACTATGTCATTCGGAGGCTATTATAATTCGCGTTTTTCAACAATTTTTACAAATTAAATAATTTTTCATTTCAATCCAGCAGCTGTGGCGACGCGTCTACCTATATTCTTCTACCATGATACATATGTACCTAATAAATAGGTGTGAATTTGTTATGTTTGTTTTGTTTTGTTTACTGAATAAAACGTTTTTTGTAACTCTAAAAAACTTATAAAAAGTCCATTTTAAAAAAAGTACCATTTTAGTACCTTTTGAAATTTTTGATTTTCATCCCTGGCCTGCACATACAATGTTTCGCCACATGTGCTAGAATTCCTTCATGCAATGGCAAAAATCATCAAATACGAATATCGTTATATGGAGACTATACCAAACGTGGACCGATATCTCATTTTCATACCAACCCCCTAGACATAATACAATTTGTCCTGTTAGATTTTGACGCTCTACGTCAAAAAATGTGGACTGTATTGGACGGACAGACAGACGGACATCGTAATCCGACTTAGAATTTTATGCTAATTATGATTTATGGGGTCTACGATGAATATTTAGGCACGTTAGAACGCAATGACAAAGTTAACATACTCTCCAAGGTGGATATAAAAAGACGAAGCCTACTCGTTTAGCAAATTTTGTATTTAATTTGGGTTGGACCAATTTTACGAAATACGGAAAGTACACAAAAATTATACATTATTAGATATCCTAAAAAATT